TCATTTGTGTTCACCATGTGGTCACACAGTGTACATACTGCTTAAAAAGGTAACTAGAGTGTGTTTTCAGCAAGAAAGAATTTTGGATGTGGGTTGTACATCTAAGATTTGGAGTATACAGGGGAGTTCCGGCTGACCGTCTTTCCTGTAACCAAAAGAATGGCCAACTACCCCCAGGCTGTACCCAGATCCACCCTGAGGAGGGGTACCCGACAGACCACCTCTTTACTCTACAACGTGCTATTTATATGCGCATCTGGTGAGTGCGCATTTTATCCATTTACCTGCACACCCACCTGAATATTTCAAGTATACTAGGAATAATAGCATCATCTGGAGATTACTCTGATGAACTGTGTTTTGCTTAACATTTTGAGAATTATATGACAAACGCATGTTTAGCCACGGTGCGTTTTCCTCTGAGATATTTTGAACTTTTTACAATATTATAATAATTTAATTTTATGAATTGACGTTTTATGGTCTACATACATATTCCCATCTAGGTGTGTTTTCCTAAATGAATTATATTTGTCTTAATAATTTTTTAGCGCTGCACTTTTATATATGCATTTTAAATCTGCCTAGCAACAAGGAAAAAAAAAAACACACGGCATCAAAACGCATGTGTAAAAATGTAAACGGACTGCAGAAATGGATCAAACGCAAACTGCTTGGGTGTGAACCTAGCCTTAGATTGAAACAGCTGTGTTTTAAAAGGTACAGATCTCATTTAAAAAATATGTAAACTCAACATTTCATATTCCTGGTGACTACTGTACCATGTACTTGTATATAAAAGTATCCTGTTCTCTATGTATTACTTCTTTTTTGTGAAATCCTGGTGTTCCCGCCAGTTCCCTCTGCTTTCTATTAAAAACTGACCACACTAGGCAGGAGAGCTGAATGGGTTGTTTTACAGGGTGAGGGTTTACATATACTTTAAATGAGAGCATCTAGTGAAATGAAAATTCCAGTTGGAGGAATGTGACAGACAAAATGGCAAATTAAAAACAAATGGTGGCCAGATACCCCTTTTATAGGTGCCCCATGTTAATTCACAGAATTGTTCACTTGTCCGGTGTAAAATAAATTAAAACTTAAAGGGTTGAGCGCATTTGTAATAATAGTGACAGGTCAGCTGGAATCGCAAATCTCCAAAACTGGAAGATAAACTAAAGAGTTGGGTGTTTTTAATTTGCCAGGTCCACCTAAAGCTGGCCATACACTGCTGTTTTTCCAGGGACCAAATTTGCGATCTGTGTGTAGCCACCTCACCTCAATAGAAGCTGGCATTTTATCAACCTCTGTTGAAGGGACATGTTGGAAAACATTCCCTGATCAGCGGCTGCAGCCATTCAGATAACTCATTTGTGTGGACGGGGCATCTTTTATTTTTTTCGTTCTGACCACTTCAGAGAAAACTAACAGTGTATGTCCAGCTTAAATACTCCTGTCATGTGTTTATCACAACAATAGAAAGGGTGATTTGTCTTTTTAGCTAACAAAACTATATTTTCTTTTTTAGACGAGAACTATTTGGCTCAATCATTGCTGCTTACCTGTCTGGCTTGAATATAGAAAGCGACAGCCAAATCATCTCCTTGCTGCCTGATGACACTGGTGAGTAGCCCTTAAGTATAACCTATCAATCAGTGGGGGGCAGCGATTTTCTGAAGCCGGAGCACTCAGAATCTGGTGCAGCTGTGCATGGGAGCCAATCAGCTTCTAACTTGAGCTCGTTCAATTAAGCTTTGACAATAAAATCTGGAAGCTGATTGGTTTCTGTGCAGAGCTGCACCGGATTTTTAGTGACCCCCCCAATGTCTTTTATACAAGTGCTGGGTTAACCTCTTCATGCCGGCCGAACGCAAATGTGCGGCCTCCCTGGCGTCTGGGCCTAGACGCCGAGCGGCCACACGTTTGCGTTCTATTAAAAAAGAACATTTGCTGAGAACGCGCCCCTGCATGCATGGGGAGTGTCTGTTTTTTGTTTTTTTTAAGTCAGTAGCTACAGTTTTTGTAGCTGCTGTCCTTTTATTTTTTTACATTTTGCCCAGAGCTTCACTTTAATGTGATCCAGTGATGTGATATAGCAGCTCCATGTCCCCTGTGAGCAGTTGCTGCAGAGGAGGGAGGGACTGCAGAGAATGGCTGTGTCATGGGAGTCTATGAGTGACCTCATGGCACAGGGGAACAGGAGCTGCTGAATCACATGACCAGACTGGATTAAAAAAAGGTAAGTATATTGGTCTTTTTTTTTTTAATTTAATAATACAGGGTATGAGCATAGGTAGGAGTAGGGGGAAGGGACTGATTTTCAGAATAGTTTAGATTTAGCCTTTACTACCCCCTTAAATTTCTTTGGTGCCACGCTTGGCAGTGATGGTTTTGCTGGCTTTTGAAGGAAAAGAAGTGGAATATTCTGTAATGGCCGAGTCAATCGCCTGATCTCAACCCAATTGAGCATGCATTTCACTTTCTGAAGGCAAAACTAAAGGCAGAAAGACCCACAAAGAACAACTGAAGGCAGCTACAGTTAGAGCCTGGCAAAGCATCAGAAAGGAGGAAACCCAGTCTTTGGTAATGTCCATGGGTTCCAGACTTCAGGCAGTCATTGCCAGTAAAGGATTCTCAACAAAATATTACAAATGAACATTTTATTTATGATTATATTCAACTGTTCAATTACTTTTGGTCCCTTGAAAAGGGGGAGGAGATGGCTACTCTTAAGAGCTGTAATTCCTAAACCCTTCTTCCAATTTGAAAAAATTAGAATATCGTGCGAAAGTTCATTTATTTTTTCAGTAATGCAACTGTAAGCCATAATCATCTCAATTATGACAAAGAATCACTGCTTGAACTATCTTGCTTTGCATGTTATAAGTCTATCTCATATATTAGTTTCACCTTTTAAGTTGCATTACTGAAATAAATGCACTTTTGCACAATATTCAAATTTTTCAAGTGTCACCTGGTATATGGATCTAACTGTAGCCTACCTTTGCAAAGCTGGGGGTGGTCAGATGCTTGTGCACAATTCAATTTCCTCCAGACATCAGCATCAAGCAGCTCTGTTTATAGAAAGCCAAAAAATGTTATGTATGGAAGGGAAGAGCAGCGATTGGGGAAAAACTAGGGATAGAGACAGGTTTTCTTACTTACCCAGTCGATGGTTTCCCTGTAAAGTGGTGAGCCAGTGGTTGCATGCAGGACCCATAGACAATCGTTCCTGCCCTGTGGGTATTTTCAGTAACTTTCCTCTTGGCAAATGCGTACACATTGGAGAATTAAAATTGCTGGCAGCATCTCCGAGGCTCCTGTCCGTGTCATATGGTTCCATTGTTCTTGTTGCCTTAGGCTACACATTGTTATCTTAATAAAGTTCTTGTGTGCGCTCACTTGTGCATTATTCTCTGCATGTTGCTTGTTTCCTATGTTCCATTTTCTACATTGTAAACTTTGCAGATCTGTAAATTAGAAAAAAAAACTCGAATTCATTTGGAGTGGAATACTCAACACAAGGTTCATTGTTTTCATTGTTGAAGGATTTCTTTATTTCATATTATCACAAATGCAGCAGTAGCTCTCAGTGGCAGAATGGAGGAAAGCCAGTCTCTCCTATGGGAACTGCAGCCCCCAAATCCCAGAGATGTAGAAGAAGTTACTTGAATGCATTTTCCCACTTGTATCTATTGATAACTAAACTATCAGGTTGGGTGGACTATTAAATGTGACCTTGGCTGTTGTGGGAATGTGTCTCTGATTATTTCATCAAACATAATGCTTATTAAGCAACGTAGAAGTTTTATTCCTTAGTTTTTCATTTATAACATAATCCTATTTCCTATCAGAGCCCTTAGTTAAAAGGAATATGAAAAGCTATGGGGTTCTGTCATCTGTTCTGAAAATCAACATTTAAGACTGAATATTCAGACTCTTGTATGGACCAAGTTGTGACTGGGTTTCTGTAAATTTGATAAAACCAGCTAAGCTAGCCCCTCTAAATTCAACTATTGTGGTTTATGAAGAAGGTAATCTTTCATTGCCATGTATAGATCATGAATTTGTTCATCCCATTTATGATTTATGAATGAGACACATCATATTATCATTTTAAATTTTTCAAAGACCGATCCCATCAGCGTTTATGATTCATGAGCTTCATTCCACTACCAGTTTTGTTTTATTAAAGAGTCCCGTTCCAGTCTAATTCATGGTTTATTAACGAGCCCTGTCTCTGCGTAATTTATGGTTTTGCAGAAAAGCTTCATGGTTATTGTTGTGTTACATATCTTCTCCGTGCAGCTGTCTGTTTGCTTAATGCGATATTGCTCTTTAAAGTGTAACTGCTCCGTCAGACTACGATAGAAGTATAACTGTACCAAAGTTGCAGCTACAAATTGCAAAATTGGTGGGGGGGGGGGGGGGGCTTGTCATAATTAACCTGTGACACAGTCCCCTATAATGTCAGTAGACAATTATTGTTGATTTTAATGTAAGCATTAACATTTTTGGGGGGTTTTGGTTTGGCACATTAAAGCGGAGACCAACCCAAAAGGGGAAGTTCCGCTTTAAGGACTGCCCCCCCCCCCCCCCCCTCCCCATTAAGGATTGGCACCTTTGGTGGGCGGGGGGGGAGAGCGGGTACCCGAATTTGACAGGTACCGCTCCCACTTCCGGTCCGATCGCCTAGGCGATCGGAATGCGGAAGGTGTCCTCCCTCAGGAGGTGACTAGAGACTGCAGACATATAGTACAGGAGATGACCAGAGACTGCAGACATATAGTACATGGGTTGACAAGAGACTGCGGACATATACTACAGGAGATGACCAGAGACTGCGGACATAGTACAGGGGTTGACCAGAGACTGCGGACATATAGTACAGGAGATGACCAGAGACTTCGGACACAGTACAGGAGATGACCAGAGACTGCGGACATATAGTACAGGGGATGACCAGAGACTGCGGACATATAGTACAGGGGATGACCAGAGACTGCGGACATATAGTACAGGAGATGACCAGAGACTGCGGACATATAGTAAAGGAGATGAGGAGATGACCAGAGACTGCGGACATATAGTACAGGAGATGACCAGAGACGGCGGACATATAGTACAGGAGATGACCAGAGACTGCGGACATATAGTACAGGAGATGACCAGAGACTGCGGACATATAGTACAGGAGATGACCAGAGACGGCGGACATATAGTACAGGAGATGACCAGAGACTGCGGACATATAGTACAGGAGATGACCAGAGACTGCGGACATATAGTACAGGAGATGACCAGAGACTGCGGACATATAGTACAGGAGATGACCAGAGACTGCGGACATATAGTACAGGAGATGACCAGAGACTGCGGACATATAGTACAGGAGATGACCAGAGACTGCGGACATATAGTACAGGAGATGACCAGAGACTGCGGACATATAGTACAGGAGATGACCAGAGACTGCGGACATATAGTACAGGAGATGACCAGAGACTGCGGACATAGTACAGGGGTTGGTTGACAAGAGACTGCGGACATAGTACAGGGGTTTTTCTAGCTTCAAGGTAGCGCAGCAAGTCGAAGTCAGCATCTTCTTCTGACACGACCAGGTAGCGTTTCAACAGTGCCCTTTTCCTTGACAAAAGACTGCAGACCTTTGGGGAGCGTAGTCTTTTGGGACACGTGACAGGTCCCAGAAGACTACAGGACCATTCATGAAGCACAGTGCTATTGGCACATGCGCAGTGGGTACCTGGCTGTGAAGCCACAAGCAGTCACAGCGAGTTACCCACACTGAAGATGCCGGCCTCCTGGAATACAGGACGGCTGGTGACACGGACTGCGGGAGACACACCACGGGACCTGGGACAGGTAAAGTGGCTGTTTTTTTAAGTCGGCAGCTACAGTTTTTGTAGCTGCTCTCTTTTATTTTTTGACAGGGTGAGCGGAACTCCGCTTTGAAACCCCCTTTTCCTATTGTCCCTTGGAAGTATATGTAAATCTTCTATTCTAATGAAGTTCCAGATACACTTTAAAACAGCCATTTAATTATTTTGTGCGTACAGGTGCGTTCAGTTACAGGCCAGTTTCTTGGATCTCTCTGAAAATTCAGACACATCAGTTTATTTTACTTTATAGGAAATTCACTGGATGGTATTAAAAAAATTCTGCTTGGAGTATCGCTCCACAGGAGCTTCCTAGAGAAATCACCACTAAAGTCATTGTTCATTTTTCCTGATGTACTTTATGATTTTCTTCTTGATTATTATTGTTGTACAACCAAGCTAATTGCTGTACAACCTTTTGTTTATTTCAGGTACCTCTGAAATGATCTGCCTTTTCCACTGACATGAATGTGAGCACAAGTGGCTGTTCTGTGAATTCCACTTCCCATAATATTTTCCATACCAAGCCCCAATAATGGTTCTGCACCCTGGCATTACAAAGAACTGTGACACATTTTTGCTCAATGTAGATATTTATGTCTGTATTAGAGCATGACAAGCTACAGATCCTATCAAAATGATGGAGTGGAGGCCGGGGGCACATCAATGAAAGCAAATGATATTGGTCGGGGAACGGACTATTATTCCCAAGGCTACTGGGGGCAGAACAGCAATGGCATGCAACATGGTGCAGAAGGATCCAGGTTCAGCTCTATCACCCCAGCCATGCCAAAAATGGGGGTACGAGCCAGGATCGCTGACTGGCCTCCCAAAAAAGATTCCCAGAAAGAGACAATGACTCCTAGCCCGTCAAGGGAAATGGAAGGGTCAAAGGATTTCCACCTGCAAAGGAATTTTCCGAATGGACAACATTTTCAAAGTAATGGCGGTTCTCCAAGATTTAGAGCTCTTTATAGGTTGCCAAGAAAGAGGTCAAAAGATGTTGAGTTCCAAGATGGGTGGCCCCGATCACCAGGCAGGACGTTTATTACTCTTCGGAACCGAAGCAACAGCGAGACAACACTCAGCGAGTGTGATGTGGATATTTCTATGGAGCCCAGGGGGTCAAAGTTCAGCAATGGCATGCCACTGTTCAGAGAGTATGGCAGCACTTCTTCTATCAATGTGCAAGGCGTGTCCGAACAGAGCTTGTATGACATGCTTAAAGATTTCAGAAATGAAAAGCATGACAAAGGCAGCGAATCACCAAGCCGAAGTAGTGGCCATCTCCATGATGACTCAAGTACAGCTTCTAACCTACACCTATTAGGGAGCTCCAGAACAGACCTCCGCAATGGACAGTTTCAAAGAGATGATGGTACCGTAAAGGATAAACAAAAAAAGCGAAACAAGGGGGATTCCAGTGACTCTTCTATATTTCGCAAGCTGAGAAGCAACAAGAGTGAAAATGAACCTGGAAAGTCATTCATGGACCCAGACGAATGCGCAAAGCACTGGATTTGTCCAAAGACTTTTTCTCATTATGATGTGCAGAGCATGCTGTTTGACCTTAATGAAGTGGCAGCCAACCGGAACTACGTTGCCCAAAGACGGAACACTACAACAGGGGCCTCTGCTGCATCAGCTGTGTCCCTAGCAGTGTCTAAAGCCTTTAGTCTGGGCAACATGGACCCCAAGTTCACCAGCACGGAAGACCTGAACTTTAAGGAGAACCTAGAGCATGATCTGGGTGACAACAACAGCAATGACCTCCTCCTCAGTTGTCCACATTTTCGAAACGAGACAGGAGGAATGTCTGAACGTAATGTGAGCTTCTCTAGAGCATCAGCAGGTTCCCCAAATGGAAGTGAAGGAGGCTTTCTGGAGCCATCCTTTTCCATGTACTGTACCAATGCCAGCATATCGGTCTTGGAAGTCTCCAAGGAAATACAGAAGACCCAAGGGAGATTAAAACAGTATAGCATTGAGCATGTAGATAATGGGGCTCGGTATTATCAAGAATATTTCCACAGTAAAGGTAAGATATGAATATTTGCATATCCTATGTCCAGAATACAAATTGCATTTTTTATAATAGTTTTTAATATAAAGATTCCATATTTTCCCTTCAGCAGCTGGAATGTAGAAGTCTTATAGTATTACAGTGTGTTTTAGATATCTGGTTTGCTGCTATGCTGTACACACACACACCACACACATACATGACACACCTGAGGAGATTCACTCCAAACCCCCCCCCCCCCTCCTGGCAAGGTACTGATGTTTAAGCGTCAGCATTTTTGGATGTCATTTCAGACTTTTGTTTTGCGCGTATTCACGCGTATTTATGCACAAATTTGTGCATATGCGAATTCACGTGTACAATACAGCCAAAATCCATGAATATTTATGCTCATATGTACCTAGCTGTGTGTATTTATGCATGCATATGCACAAACAGGCACAAAATACTGACCAGGAACACAGATATTTTTCTTTTTACGCAGCGCTTGTTTATGCTCCTGTGTGTACAGGCACATTGTAAACAATGGGCTGCCTTTTAGATCAATACAAATAATGGTGTACTGAGGTTTTTCAAGCTGTATTGAGCAAGAACCCTAAAGATGGGAAATATTCTGGCTGCAAGAGCAGTCGGCGAGTGCAGAGATAGTGCTGGATTTTCTTCTTCTACCTTTACATACAGCACTGAAGCATGTTTTAAACATGAAACATTTACCAAAAGCTACTTTAGTTTCCCCTTATACAGTCAGGTCCATAAATATCGGGACATCGACACAATTCTAACATTTTTGGCTCTATACACCACCACAATGGATTTGAAATGAAACGAACAAGATGTGCTTTAACTGCAGACTGCCAGCTTTAATTTGAATCAGGTGAACGGTGTAGGAATTACAACAGTTTGCATATGTGCCTCCCACTTGTTAAGAGACCAAAAGTAATGGGACAGCTGGCTTCTCAGCTGTTCCTTGGCCAGGTGTGTGTTATTCCCTCATTATCCCAATTACAATGAGCAGATAAAAGGTCCAGAGTTCATTTCAAGTTAGCTCTTTGGATCTCATCTTGAGAGTTGACAGCAACAGATTCCAAATAGCAGTCACTATCAGTGAAGCAAACCATCATTAGGCTAAAAAAACAAAACAAACCCATCGGAGAGAGCAAAAACATTAGGCGTGGCCAAAACAACTGTTTGGAACATTCTTAAAAAGAAGGAACGCACCAGTGAGCTCAGCAACACCAAAGGACCCGGAAGACCACGGAAAACAACTGTGGTGGATGACCAAAGAATTCTTTCCCTGGTGAAGAAAACACCCTTCACAACAGTTGGCCAAATCGAGAACACTCTCCAGGAGGTAGGTGTATGTGTGTCAAAGTCAACAATCAAGAGAAGACTTCACCAGAGTGAATACAGAGGGTTCACCACAAGATGTAAACCATTGGTGAGCCTCAAAAACAGGAAGGCCAGATTAGAGTTTGCCAAACGACATCTAAAAAAGCCTTCACAGTTCTGGAACAACATCCTATGGACAGATGAGACCAAGATCAACTTGTACCAGAGTGATGGGAAGAGAAGAGTATGGAGAAGGAAAGGAACTGCTCATGATCCTAAGCATACCACCTCATCAGTGAAGCATGGTGGTGGTAGTGTCATGGCGTGGGCATGTATGGCTGCCAATGGAACTGGTTCTCTTGTATTTATTGATGATGTGACTGCTGACAAAAGCAGCAGGATGAATTCTGAAGTGTTTCGTGCAATATTATCTGCTCATATTCAGCCAAATGCTTCAGAACTCATTGGACGCCGCTTCACAGTGCAGATGGACAATGACCCAAAGCATACTGTAAAAGCAACCAAAGAGCTTTTTAAGGGAAAGAAGTGGAATGTTATGCAATGGCCAAGTCAATCACCTGACCTGAATCCGATTGAGGATGCATTTCACTTGCTGAAGACAAAACTGAAGGGAAAATGCCCCAAGAACAAGCAGGAACTGAAGACAGTTGCAGTAGAGGCCTGGCAGAGCATCACCAGGGATGAAACCCAGCGTCTGGTGATGTCTATGCATTCCAGACTTCAGGCTGTAATTGGCTGCAAAGGATTTGCAACCAAGTATTAAAAAGTGAAAGTTTGATTTATGATTATTATTCTGTCCCATTACTTTTGGTCCCTTAACAAGTGGGAAGCACATATACAAACTGTTGTAATTCCTACACCGTTCACCTGATTTGGATGTAAATACCATCAAATTAAAGCTGACAGTCTGCAGTTAAAGCACATCTTGTTCATTTCATTTCAAATCCATTGTGGTGGTGTATAGAGAGTATTATCCGCCGTTCCGTCCCCCATACATCCCGATGCTCGCAGGGGACGGAACCCAGATGACAGATGCTGGCATCCGCCAGATTACATTTCCGGGCACACTGCAGGAGGGACATCGCGGGAGTGCAGAACAAGGTAAGTGATCGAAGATCGCAGAGCAACGCTGCATGGTAAGCCCAAGTGTAGCTCGGGGTTACCGCTTGTGGTGCTGAAACTTTACCACAAGCTACACTCGGGAATACCGCCAGGGAGGTTACAATAAGGAAAAAAACCTTGTTCTTTGGATCTGTGATGGAAGTTAGATCTGCAAACGCCTTCTGTTTTCAGAAGATTGTACAGTGTTTGTGACTTATGAAATCGGAACTTGACTTAAAAGTGAAAGTTCTGTTTATCACCCTCCCCTTGCCTTACTTTAATAATTTGAAGTTTTTTTTTTTTCTTAGTTTCCTGACAGATACCTCGAACTTCTGCAATTCCCGCCTAGTTGAGAAATACGTCAGCTTGGCCCTCCCCCTGCCCACATACAGCCTCCTGAGACACATCACATGTCCCAGTAGGCTGCGGGACCAGTCTGAAAGCACAGCACAATCTTGGGCATGTGCAGTGGGGAGCCAGCTGGAAGTCACAGCTGGCTCCCACATCCAAGATGGCTCCGCCGGTGATCTGAAGCCCAGTGAAGGGTTGACACCAGTGAGGACAGCGCTAGACGCCTGGACCAGTGAGTGTCTGTTAAAAGTCAGCTGGTACAGTATTTGTAACTGCTGACTTTTATTTTTTCAGTGTCAGTTCACACTGGAACACGGTTCCATAAACCTGCATTCTGTCCGAATTTCCTGCCCCGAGTTCAGAGCGCGCTGTCTGCATTCTGCAGTGGGTGTCATTGTAAAGTTAACACCCCCCCCCATACGCAAATTGCATACAGTGAAGGAAATAAGTATTTGATCCCCTGATGATTTTGAATGATTGCACCAACTGTTGTCACCTTCTCACCAAGCTGCTTGGCGATAGTTTGGTAGCCCAGTCCAGCCTTGTGTAGGTCTACAATCTTGTCCCTGACATCCTTGGACAGCTCTTTGGTCTTTGCCATGGTGGGGAGCTTGGAATCTGATTTTTTGATTGCTCCTGTGGACAGGTGTCTTTTATACAGGTAACAAAATGAGATTAGCAGTACTCCCTTTAAGAGACTGCTTCTAATCGCAGCTTGTTACCTTATGGAAGACACCTGGTAGCCAGAAATCCTGCTGAATGATAGGGGATCAAATACTTATTTACCCTCATGAACATGCAAATCAGTGCATCATTTGTTAGACATGCATTTCTTTTGAATTTTTGTTGCTATTCTGTCTCTCAGTGTTACAATACATCTACCATTCGATGTTTAGACTGATCATTTCTTTGTGAGTGGGCAAACATTCCAAATCAGCAGGGGATCAAATACTTATTTCCTTCACTGTATGCAGTGCATTTGCATGTATCAGATCCCACTGTACCTTGGTACCATGCGATCCTGTTGCATACTACAGGGGATGCTCCCTCCTGTCCCCTGCAGCTGCCACGGGTGCTGTATCACAGGACCGGAGCTTGCTGCAAATAGGTAAGTACTGCATGTACATTTTTTTTTCCTTTTTTACTGAGGTTAGTCAGCATAGGTAGCAGGAAGGGGGAAGGGACATTTTTAAGACCAGTTAGGTTTAGGCTGGAATTCCACTTTAATTACCTACTGGCTTATTAAGCAATGATGTGTATACCATCAAGAGATTTCCTTTAAGATTGGTGTAACTTTTTTTTTCTTCTAATATTTCTTTATTTTTTGGTATTTTGAATGGGTGCACACAATGTGAATGTTACATAACAAAAAGCAGGTGTACATCCTGACCGACATATGCTGCGTTGCAGAGTGCAGCTTCATTAGTCCCTGTGATCAGCTGTTGTAGATTCTAGGACCGCCTGGAGAATCCATCAGTTGGAATATTAGTCAGAAGTCGTGTTCCCCATCAGAATTATAACTTTGTCCTAATTATCTTCACTTCTAATGAACTGCTTAGCTGTGTGTATGTGAATGTTATTAATAGCTTGTTTTATGGGCCAAGACATGATTAAATTTTCCGACCCCCTTAACATAGTGATCATGTTATTGAGTAGAGAAGGATGTAAGTATAATTGTGCTCCATTTGGGGGGGGGGGGGCTCTGGCTACTCTCCATATGGCACATTTTTATTCCTGTAAATAAGTTGGACAATACTGACATCCATTTTCTGTATCGTCGTAGATACGTGGCATGACTATTTAGGACTGTTCCTAGTGCCATGTAATAGTTATTTCCAGTAATGAGAGCTAAAAATAAAACTCACATGGCCGAAAATAAAGACCATTACAGCACATGCGTTGTAGCTTGGTGAATTGAGCCGATTATGTAAACTGATGTGAAGGTGCAGAATTTGTGTCTGTTTGGCCTAATTAAGATAATGTCCCTTTATTATTGAGCAAGCTTCCTAATAGCTGTGAAGGCATGGGGGACCGTTCCTATTATAGATTTTATGAATACAGCACGTCTCCGGAGAGAAGGATGCCTGTCAGATGTGGTAATTAGCACAGTGTTAGCATTAATTTGGGAAACAACTACAGCAAAATCGCTCTCACCAGCTGGGACTTCGTAATACTGTGCCTTTATATATGTACAAGTGTGTCTATCACACTTC